GCTTGGTGATTTTTTTTTTTTTTTCCTTAAACACAACTGAAAATAACCAGGCTTGTTTGAATGAGTTCAAAATACAGTGTCAATTATCAACCTCTTCCTACTGGTTGCTTGCTCCTAGAAAATTATACAAGTCATTTATAAGGATTTAAAGACCTCGATACACAACAAATAGAAGAACAGAACACTGCTATATGCTTAGTCTGACATGTCTGAAGACATGTCTTTGGGTTAGAAACCCAAAGTAAAAATAGCAGCTCCATCAATCTTTAACAAGGACCAGTTATAAGTAATTTCAGATTTCAGAATAGTCTTCTCCAACAGCCTTTCTGCCTCTCCTGTGGTCTCCCTGTGCTGCTTTTCCTTCCAGCAGTTGGCGAGGCCCAAACCCTAGTGGGACCGTGGAGCCAGATGTTATTCACCTTGACCTCAGTAGATGCCCACAGCTGCTCTTTAGGGTGATCTGAGAACATGAGACCCCAATGCTTTCCCACTAATATATAACGATCAGTTATGAAAGTGCCAAAGAGAAGTACTACACTCTTAAAAGCCCTCTAGCGAGGCTGTAGTGCTGGAGTTTTCCTCATCAGTGTCAATCATTTCACCTTCTTACACAGAAGTGCCATGAAAGCCCTTCGGCATCCCAGTAGGCTATTTAGCTTTCTGGAGACATGGTATTTGCTACTGATATCACTTTTGAGAGAACACAGAAACACTACCTTGATGGCATAAAAAAAGGTTGCAGAGCTCAAGGAGGGAAGAAATCCCTCTCTGGGTTTGCATTTGAATCGTGATAGCAAAGACACTGCTTTTCCTTTCAAACCTGCTTAGTTTCTCAGTGTCTCTTGATCAAAGCAAAGAGCATATGCTGAATGATTTTCAGTTACATTTTGCAAGTCTCTTCTAGGATGTCTTGTCCTCTCCAGAAGACCAAGCCCTAAATAAAAAAAAATCTGAATATTATATCATTTTCCTTCTGATACAGCCTCCTTTTAACATAGTACTTTGAGTTTTCAGACACATAAGCTTACATGGCAGTGATGTTGCTGCTTTGTTGGCTCCAGTGAGGGTGCCTCACAGCCCTTGTACTGCACAAAAATATTGTGCTTGAATTGATCAAGTTGTCCAGTGGCTTGTATTAACACTGACACTCATTTTTCTTTTCCTTTCACTTGCTCAGATAAACATCAAACACTTTAATAACTGTGCTGTTTCAGAGATGTGACAGCATTAAATCTTCAAACGGCTGAGAGTCCATATTGGTCTTAGTAACTGTACAAAGTTCTTCATGGTACAGGCTTCTTGTTTCCAATGACTGCATTCCATGACACAAATCTTGTGATACTTGATGAGAATCATCTCATTTAAACTGAGATATCTTTCTAGTGTGCAACTCCTTTACTCCCACATCCCTTGGCAGTCAGCAGGAGGTGCAGACATTTCTGGAGCACAATGCACTTATCCTGCTTCAAGTGCTGAGTCTCAAATGGTGGTCTGTTCCTCTCTCACTCCCTGGGCTGTGTGAGGATCTAGGGCATAAACTGGGGACTTCACCTTACAAAGTACTGTTGCTTAGTTCTCTATAGCTCTTTTCAGAAAGACTGGTGATGCAGTGGTGCAGGCTGCACAGGGAGGTGGTAGAGTCACCATCCCTGGAGGATTTCAAGAACTGTGTGGATGTGCCACTGAGGGATGTGGTAAGTGGGCATTGTGAGGATGGATTGAAGTTGGACTAGATGATCTCAATGGTCTTCTCTAGCCTTAGTTATTCTATAACTCTATGATCTTATAAGACGCTTTAAAAGTCTGCCTACTGACTCGAACACGCTTTAAATCAATCACTTAGGCAGATGAAATAGGAAAGAAAAAAGGAAATTACTGTTTTAGCTGGGATTTCCTTCCTTCCTTCCTTCCTTCCTTCCTTCCTTCCTTCCTTCCTTCCTTCCTTCCTTCCTTCCTTCCTTCCTTCCTTCCTTCCTTCCTTCCTTCCTTCCTTCCTTCCTTCCTTCCTTCCTTCCTTCCTTCCTTCCTTCCTTCCTTCCTTCCTTCCTTCCTTCCTTCCTTCCTTCCTTCCTTCCTTCCTTCCTTCCTTCCTTCCTTTCAGCAGCTGTCCTGTTCTATTGTCATTCTGCCTGCAGTACTCCCTGTTCTTAAAGACCAAACTGATAGCTCTTCACTTAAATTATTCCTTCAGCAAGGGCTCTTGCAAAAACCCTCCCCGGACTCACTTCTTAGACTAAGCAGTGAGCAAGAGCAGAGCATTGTCATAAAGATGTTCAGGGATCTTTTTTTTTTCTTAAAAACAAAACAAAACAAAACAAAAACAGAAACAAAGCTCCCAAACCCAAAACACAACAACTAATTTTGAGGAATATCTTTTCTCATGGAGTGGAACTTACACGGGGAACTGAAACTCTCAAACAGGGTGCTCAGTTACCATCTGGACAATTATGGGAATCTCTTTGTCAATGGCATCATCAGCTTGATGAATGAATGAGGAATGAAAAGCCATAAACTGTGTTTTTTTTTTTTCTTTTCTTCTTTTCCCCAGTTCTTAATCCAACTGCCCACTGCTATTGATGACCTCAAGATAGATACAAAACACTTCCTTCCTCATCTGTGTACAAAAGCTCTATGAGACCATTTCTGCCTATGCAGAAACTCTGCCTCCTAGCTATTTATAGCTGTTTTATCCAGATGAATCCTACAGCAGCAACTATCCTCGTGTGGCTAGGGATTTTAAAACGTCTGCTCTTTTTTCATTCGGGGGAAATCCCGTTTCTGGCAGGCGGTGAGGCTGCCAGCAGGGGTCAGCGTCTGCCCGTGTACGTGCCGTGCTTTTCCTCCTCAGTTCCTTTTCTTCACCGGCCCGAGAGCTTAGCACTTTCTTGAGATGCAATTGGACATTTTCCTTCCTCAAAGGAGCTCCGACCTGGGCTGCTTGCTTTTGCTGCCCGGAGTTGCACTGTCTGTGGGACTTACTTTAAAAAGAAGACTAGAACAAATCTTTTTTTCCTTTTGCCTGGTGGCCTGCAAGTGGTTTCTTTACAGAGTCTTCGTCTCACAGCTTGCAGATGGTTTCCCCATTGAGCTAGTTGAATCAGCTCTGTACAATAAGCTTCCCCAGTAGCCAGCTCTCCCCACCATGACCATCATCATGACCAGCTCTGGTCAGCACCAAACCCTGTCAGCAGCCACACCCAGAACCCACATAGCTTCACTCACTGCTGCCCTCATTCTGTGAGGTCTGAGAAGCAATTTGTCAGAGCTCTTGCTGAGCTGGGAAGTCATTAAGAGCCATAATCTACCAAGGGCTGCTTCCCACCAGCTTAGCCACCAGATGGGCAGTTGCCTCTTTGCAGCAGCCCCTCTGTATTGCAGCAGTGAAATGTAATGGTTTCTGATGAGTTCCTGTGAGTTATCATGGCTGGAGCCCTTCTTCCCTTCCTGGAAACCTGTGTGTCCATTCCTGATTGCCAATATAAAATGCAAGGCCACAGCAAATGACTCTGTGCTGCCTCAGCTCCAGCAGATCTGGCCGTTCAGTGCTTGAGTCAGGAAAGTACAGCACTCTCAGGCAGACATGCTCCTCCTGACTAAGGGTATGCAGCAACTTACTGTAAACTGTGAAATTCTGCTAGTGTGTAACAGTGATATTTTAAACACTTTACAAGCTGATGGGAGAGAATATAAGGTAGCTGGGCTGTAGTGATTTGTCCTGTCTGGAAGCAACCAGCTGGAACAGCTCACCTGATAATAATTTGAAACAATTTCTTCTTGGTCAGGCCCTATTGGAGAGAGAGCTTCTTACAGCACATCATCCCACTTCCACTTGCTAAAATAGCCCAAGCCCATACCTTGGGCCAAGAATTCATGGTGAATGCAAATAGGGAAGCTTACTTAGATGTCTTAGATACAAGTCTCAGGCAGTCTTGTTTTTGCAGCTGGAGCATAATGCTGGCTCTAAGAGGTCATGCTGATAACAGTTTAACCACACAATTCCCCTCCTGCTACTGATGGTCAGAAAAAAAAAGAAGAGCCCAAAAACATGGAAAGGAAAGAAACCACATTCTGTCGTGGCCTGCCCTGCACTCTAATCTTCCCACTTGGTTGTGTAAAGGAGGATGCTCCATGCAGCATTATTCTGTGCAGCCCATAGCACTACTTTATGGGATAACAAGGATCCCATGTGTAGGAGAGGCAGGGTTTTTAGAGAAAACATCACTGGAATATATTGTCAAATAATGGATGTCAAAGTAAGTTGTTACACCCTGTATGCCCAAACCAGTATCTTACTTCCTACAGTTAGAAACATTTTCTATTTATAAGAGAAAACCTACCAATTTAGAAACACTGAGAATTCTTGCTTGCAAATTGCAGCGTTAGACACACCAGCACCTTTCCTCAATTTAAATAAATATAAATAAACATGTTTCGGCAGTCCTTATGTGGGAGTTCGTGTGTGCGGTGTCTGTTTTATAGGCTGCAGCTCTAGGGAGGAGTTTTCCCAAGTTCTTGGCCAGGGATATGCATGGCAATAGATCTGCAGGGATCAACCTGCTACAGGAAGATTTCTGAGGTTTAATGCTGACGTTCCGATCTGTTTCTGTGGACACAGGCTAAGAGCAGCTCTTCTCCTCCTTGCTGCTGAGACAATTTTTAGGTGTGTTTACCTCAGGCAGCCAATACAGTATCACTTGTCTGACTTGTGGGGAAGCTGTCACGAAATGTATACCCGGAGGGAAATACACAGAAATGTGCCTTGGTGGTGCATCTGCCTGTATGAACTCTCAGTGTAAGCAGTGCATGAGCTTCCTCTCAGCAGTCCCTTTGGCCTCTGCAGTGCTCCTTATACAGGGGCAGGCTGAAAGAGGAGTCAGTAGGATAGAAGTTTATTTAGACTCAGATGATGCAGAGAGCCTTCTCAGGTGGACAAGATTTGGCTTTAATTACTCTTGGGTGAAATGCTTCCCAGCAGACATGAATGTAAATGCTGTTAAAAAAAAAAGGCTAGGGGTATACCATGTTAGCAGCATCACACAGTTCTTCTCCCACTAGTTATTTTCTTACACTTGGGTTTTTGTTTGGTAATGCAGAGGTGGCTAAATGTAAAGGTAATATTTTTTAATGTATTTTCTAGTCTTAGTGGGAGAAAGGCCTTGAAACATGATGAGATATGCAAGACAGAAAATATACTGCTTATATTATCTCATGATGTCATATTTTGTAGCCTCATGGGCTCTAAGATTAAATTCTACTTCATTTTTGTTTTCAGAGATGCTATGCTGTGATTATTGATTCTCAGGAATATAGTGGTTTAAATGATGGTATATTACTAGCTACATCATTTGCCACTAGCATTTTGTTTTGCAACTAAAAGCAGGTTACACAAAGTCTCTTATATAAAACATTTTAGATAACCTGTTCATCTTATTAGCAACTGAAAACTTAAAGAAAAAGCAAATTATTTGCCAGTATTCTAAAAACAGATGTTCAACTGCTTGGACTGGGATGAAAGGGATGAAAAGGGATAACAAATATTGCTTAAATATTGTATTAACCCTTTCACAGTCAAACCCTAGATAACAGTTTCTAGCTGTGGCTATAAAGCCTTTGGTAGTACATGGCTCCAGACAGATGAACACAAAATGAACTTTCCTTGGTCAAAATATCTCCTCACCTTCTCACGATAACATCTCACCTATGTCTCCTTGCTGATGGTGACACTGTAAATAAGAAAAATGAAGAAAAAAAAAGGAGAAAAGTTCTGTAACTACAGGGAAATGTAATCATTTGAGAATTTCTTGAATGGTAAATGCACTGGTGTCTCAGAAGCTTAGATACCATGGTGATAGTTGCCTTAGCAATGTTTAGCTACGTAGGTAATCACAATCAAACCTGTCTCTAGTGGCAAAATGATGCTGTATTATTTTGTTTTTTGCAAAGCTTTTTTGAATGTGCAGTACTGTAGTTTATGATTTTGTATTCAGGCATCAGATTTTCTTTCAAGCTTCTTGTCCTTTCATTTTTCACTGATGTTAATTCTTAAAATAAATGTCTTTCATGTTAAGGTTCTGTACTTATAAGAGCCTAACTGATTTAGTCCTTACTCACCTCAGGATATATGTATTTCACACTTTTAGGGTGAGACATGATCGATTTTAGAGTTTGTGTTCATGTTCTCATCTTAAAAAAGCTAGTACAGCTGAAGCTCATGTTTCCACAGCCTGACATCACTTTAAAGCCTGTGTATTTTCACAGCAGGTGTTCAGACAAACCAAATGTTATGAAAAAATGTAACGAGGGAGCAGATATCTTAGCAGACACTTACAGAGTGTCTTGATAAAACCAGTACATAATTCCATTAAGTAAGAATGAAGATGAGAAATTGTCTTTTCCATTTGCGGTTGGAAGTACTTGCATTCCAAAGTTATCTAAAAGTTATCTGTTAGAGTGAAAGGCAGGTTGGGATTTTAGCGTGGGCTGCAACTGGTAGAGCCACAGGCTACCAGAGGTGGTATAAGGATGTTGGTGGCTGGTGTTGGCCTCTACAAGCTGTGAGTTGGTTCTCCCGGTACTGCCAGCCATTGGTCTCAAGGTACAATGCAAAAAAGTGTAGCTCTTCAAGCCTCTCACTCAAGACTATGTCTTGGATCACCAAAACTCAGTGTTTTCCAGACTGTGGAGATGCCCCAGATCAGCTCAGTGGTGGTGCATCTGGTACTACACCAGCCATACTTGTGCTCTTTATACTGAGTGACGGATGTAACAACAACTAGAGGAAAACCAAGTACAATCAAAGGCTTATTTGTGTTGATGCTAATGAAGGGAAGAGGCAAATTAGTCAAACTACCTATCAGGACAGATGCAGAAGATTATTATGTGAAAGCTAAGGATGCTGGCAGTAGAAAAACAAAGAAATGCAGTGCTAGAGAAAGAAATGCCACCTGGGGAGATTCTTATTAAGATTTGGTTTGCAAGCCTGCCTTTGCTTGTAGCTGAGATCTATGTTTCCAGTGGTATGTACTTTGGCCTTTCCTTTCAGGAGCCTCTGTGACCAGGAGAGCCCAAAGCTGCACAAATCCAGGATTATCTTTTTGTTATTTCCATATCCAGTGATTTCTCCTGCTGAGCCTGTTCCCTGGAATGGTGTTGTTTCTGCCCCATGGCCCAGTGCTTCTATCTTCCCGTCCTTTGCTGAGGTCTCCAGAGGAAGGAGCGGGGACAGGCTCCAGAATGGCTGTGCTTCCTTCCTGTGGGGATGCATGAAGCTGACAGACCTGTGTACCGGGCTGTTGCTGTCCTCAGTGGTGACTTTGTCACTTCGCAGTCGAACAGGCCCATAATTACAGCCCTCAGCGTGTGTTCAAGAAGGGCTGCTCTCTAATGTGGTCTCTGTGTCTGATTTGGGCACTTTGTGATATTCTGAAGTGCTTTTTTTTGTAACTTTTCACACTGAATTGTAATGATTAGAGTATAAAAGCTTTTCGACTGTTATGCACAAAGTTTTATTATAATCATTTTTAATAATCATATAATAGAACCTAATTTTCATCAAGGTTGTATTCACATTTCCTAAGTGCCATTGGCAGCTGGTAAAATGGAATGCTGTCTTCGTAAACCTCAAGTATCCTATCTGCTTAACAAGAAGCTGCTGGCTGTGGTACCACTTCAGAGCAGCAGTGGCTTTCTGTAGGCTGGGAAGACAGTGCAGGATCACTGCTGTGGGCAGGGGAGGAGCTGGTTGAGTTAGTGAAACGCTGTTATGACAACCCCAGAAGATGTTATGCAATGGGAGATTTTCTGAGCCTGGGGCCTCTGAATAGGTCCCAGGCCTGTTTCTGGGTGTCAGGTGGCAGACAGCAGGCCAGTAACTTGGCTGCATCCAGCAAGAGCTTGGGTCTTAACAGATTGGCCAAAATTTGGTTCCCACTTTCCTAGTGCTAAGAGGTCTGTAAATCAGAGATAATTCTTCCTGGCATTAGCTGGATTTCCATTTACACAGATGTAAAAGGATTGGTGTTTTAGTTTTTACTTTATTAGTACAAAGCTCGCTGATAGTGCTGTGGCTGTTTGTTTCTTGTTAAGTATAGACTCCATGCCTGTCCTCATTGATCCGGAGGTGATTCTGGCTCATTGTGTGGGACAGGAGAGTGCAAGTTCTGGGTGAATTTGTGGGAGAAAATTATGACAGACATGGAAAAGGTCTCTTTACATGTGTCTATGCTCTCTATAATGGCTAATTTTGAAGTTGCAAAGAGGTTTAAAATGTTGGAATTATTCCTGGTTGAAATAAATCTACAAGGGAAATGGCTAAAGGTGAAAGAAAAAAAAAATCTACTGCTTGGCATTTTTAACATGCTTATATTGGAGTAAATATTGAGTCAATTCAGTTTAGTCCTAATGTATTTGTTTTTGCTTTCTTTAGGAGAACTGCCCCCAGGAACAGATGTACTTGGATAACAAGGATGACAGTATGGTTTCTAGACAAGAAATGGAGCTGAATCGGACCCCTTCACATCAAACCAGTTTATCTGCAAGAGTGGCAACCAAACCGGGGACCAGAAGTTGCAATGAGCTGTGGCTCTTAAAAGAGTATCATGGCATGGTAACGAGTCTTGGAGAGCCACACACCCCCTGTGAAAAAGCAGCAATTGAAGAGGATGGCTGCGTTGCTCTGGGGAAGGATTTCACTCAAGTCCCCATGCAGGGAAGGTAAGAATAAGGACAAACACAGTTTTTCTGCCAGTTCAGATTTATTTTTACTTTCTTGCAGAGAAGATATGTATTTTCAATAAGCAATTGTTGTTTCTCCCCTAAAGAGAACGGGAAGCTTAATGGGGACATCAAGGCAGTTTTAATTGCCTAAGGACAGTGGTAGATCATTAGATTTCCAAACTAATCTCAGTTTTAATAGCAGCCATGGACCAATTTTGTTTTTTCAAGATCCCATTTCTTCTCTAATTGGTGTCACAAACCACACAGAAATAAGAATGTTTTCATGTGACACCCCCTGTCCCTTTAGGAAAGCTGCATGTGAACTTCCAAACTGCATCATAAGACCACAAAGTGAATCACTATGGCTAAGACAGAAAATACAAAAATGGCACTGATAACTGATAATAGGTGTGATGTTGCCACATCACATATTGAGAGTAAAAGGAATTCACTCCTTGTGTATCCTTTCATGAATCAGGAAGATTGTAGCTATGGGGAATGGTTGTCCAGTCTTTCCTGGTGAAAAAGATTAACAGTACTACTTATAGGTATTCAGAAATATATAAAGTATATATATATATATAATGTGAGAGAGATGTATCTATCTGAGCTCCTGAAGAACACAGTCTGCTTGGAGGCTTAAGTTTTGAGCAAGATGGCTTAAACTGCAGTGGTTAAGTAGAGTATCAGCACAATTTCCAGATCCTGATGCTGGAGACTCCTGTTGTAGGTCAGGAAAAACACGGTAGATTTCAAAGCAGGTTAATGTTCGAATAAGATTTTAAAAAATCAATTAATTAAAATTAAACAGAAACATATTGCAGATCAGAAGTGTAACTAGAGTCCTGGTGAAGTTAGTTAAATAGGCTTTTCAACCAAAAAGTAGCATTTCATTCCTCTTCACATGGTTCTCTGCTGCTTCTGTGTAAGTTAGGAATTGCAGTCTCGGGGGCTTTTCATAGCTCTGGGCATGCTGGTCACATCCCTGCACTGCTGGAAAGGGGCAAAGGTGTGTCCTGTACCATTACATGTAATTTAGAAGGAAATCTACTTGTACTGGGAGAAAAGGAGGTTTGGGGCATTTTGTAAGTTCTCTGATCTGGACAAAGCAGAATCAGGTTAGCTAGATGAGCTTTGCTGCTCACCTTGCTTCCCAGAAGTATACATGTACTCTGTAAGTCTACATCAAACAAAGTCAAGGTTTTATGAGCATGTGAAGGTATTTACTTCAGAATGAGAATTGGAAATCGTTATGGCTGTGCTTTTGAAATATTAAAAAATAATCAAATTGACAGCTTGACCACAAAAGCCCCATAAATCCTTTAGAAATGATTTTTGGGGTATTTGAGGATTTGTTGTGTTGACTAAGACTTTTATGGACAGATTAAAATCTTGTAAAAGTTCCTTAGTTCAGTGTGTGGTAGTGTTGAGCTAATGTCATCTGGTTTTAAAAGAGTATTATAAGTACAAGTTGGATGCAGTGTCAGGAGGAAGGCAGGAAAAATGCATCTGTAAACAAGGATTTTCATTTGTGAATTCTCATATATGTCTAATTACTGATGTGTTTACAAGTGCTGTGTACTGTCCTGTTAACTGTCCTGATACAGGAATTGAAAATACTGTCATATTCTTATAGATTAGCTGTCAGTCTGCTGACTGTATTTCTTCCTGTTGTTTACAGGAATTTTTGTACTGCCTGCATGTAACTTACTATGAACCATGTTTGGAAATCATGATCACCGGTGCTAGAGATGAAAAATACTTTCTAAACTATGGGGGAGCCCACCTTCCTGCAAGGGCAGGCAGTAGCTCCAGATCTTTTGATAACACTGTTTTCCTATTGAGTAAACTTATGTGATTTAGGGGTAGAGTACGATTAAAAAGCCATTTCCATGCTGTCTTATGGGCAAATACATGTATCTTTTTTTATAGTAATAAATTAGAGATTGGGAAAGCATCTCCTAAAGTTCCTTCTTGTTTGATTTTTACCTCTCTTGCTTCTGCAACATAATTGATTTTTTTTTTTTCATGTGGAGATGAATCTTATCTGTCAGTGTGTATTTTAGCAAATGTACACTAGGTGCAATTAAAACATGAATGTGATCTGTATGACTCCTCTAATATGAGTAATTACCCTTAAATCATTGGGACCACTCAACAGAATGCAGATAAAAACATGAATAAACCTTTGCAAGTTCCCGAGTTGTTTGATTAGTTTCAGCAGAATAATAATTAACTTTTAATGTAAACTGTTCTTTGACTTGGAAGACTACTATTAAAAAAAGAGGAGACCTAATCCTTTTTTTCTTTAAAAGGGTTGACTAAATTGGCATGCCTGTTTGGTTTGTTTTAATGCATCTACTTAACTTAAATTGCTGAATTATCTTTCAAGGATAAGATTGCCAGGCTCTCTAAATTGTTCAAATTTACACTGACACAAGACTGTCTAAAGAATCTATCCAAGAGAACACAGGATTTATCTTAGTCACTAAAATTACCTTTAAGAAAATTCTTGAGTTATCTGGGGTCTTTTTTCTTTCTGAGCAGAGTAGATAGTCACCCTGTTCTGGTCTGAACAGTTCCATTTGTCTGCAGCATAATCCTGTGGGTATTTTGTGGCTAGCTCGCATATGGTCATGAGCTGCCTGCCCATCAAAATGCCATCTTGTTTCCATCGTGTATTGAAGAATGGTTCCCTTCAGGTTTTACTGCATTGCATTAGGCTGCCCAGGCTCTATGTGAAAAAGCTTTGGACCATCTGTGCTGATCCTGGAGCATCCTTCAGGCTGAAAGAAGTCAGCCTTCTTGTTAAGACCATACTTCCTCCAGTATTGCTTACTGCAGGAAATACAGGCATTTTCTTCTGAACTGGAATGCAAATGAGCTCCAGAGTTTTTCAGTGGGAATGCAGCTGGCTGAGGTGTATGTTTACACTGAACTGCACTATGTGCTATAGTGTGCTCTGCTGGAAATACAGGTTTTAACATAGTACAAAACACCAGTGCAGACTTATTTTTGATTCTGAACTTTGTTCGTTCTCCTTAGCCTTTATGAAAAGGATCAATCTGGCTATTTTTAACATCTTATTAACGAAAGTTGCATTTGCGGTCTATAGGCATTGATCCAGGACCTTCTTGAGTCCCTTGCACTGCAGGAAGATTTCACACTGCTCTGTGACAGCATGGACAATGTTCTTTATGTCTGCCCTGACATATTCAAAAGCACAGCTTACTTCCTTCCATCTTGTCTCCGCATGTTCAAGTTGTGGTCACAAAGGAAGGTTCCTTGGTTACCTTGATCTTAACATCATTAGTGCTGATTCCACGGGGGAAACCAAATGACATGGCTTTGTGCCAAGCAAATCTGAAATTCTCCTTTATGATCCACAGTAAGAGAGCGATATCAGCTGCTTTCAACTTAGGAATTAGTGGGCCTCAAAGGCCACTATAGAAAAATATATTTCTAAAGAAATAAGATGTATAGTAATCCCATGTAGCCAATTACTTTATGATGCTATTTAAAACTATATTAATGAAAAAAGAAAGGCCTTCTTTGGAATATAAAAGTGATGGAAGAGTGGATAATTGAGGAACTATACCCTGTGGCATTCATTTCATGCTGCCCTTCTGGTCCCTTTCTCTCTTTGATGTAATTTCTGGCTGTACTTCTTTTAGGCAGTCAGGTAATAACACTGGCTTCTTAAAAGTAGGGAGAAAAAGAAACAAACAAAAAAAAAAATATGGCAGTTCTTTATTGATTTTGTTGTGAACTTTTAATGAGAAATTAGACAGTGGGAAAGAAAAGTGATCAAACCAAGACGTCGAATTACTCCTCTGAGGTTATGTTTAGATGAATTTGGCACTGGAATTTGTTGTTCATTTTATGTTATAGTCCTTGGAAGTTTTTTTCTTTAACTTTTATGTCTCGTTAAAAAGATTAATCTCCGGAGTAACAAAAATTAATCCCTTATTTACTTACTGAATCTGCTTGAATTTGTGTTTCATCAAGCAAACCTATTTATTTTAGCATTTCTCTGGTCTCTCAGTTTCATTTACATAATCCTCACTTCTGTAAGAAAAAATGAAAATAACCAAATCAAATTCTTCCTTTGACCCAAGTCTGTGTTCATGGGATCAGTAGGGAAATTATTGGTTTGTGGTGAGAAGGACTGCAAGTCTGCTCCTAGAGTGATAGTAGAAGGAAAGCAGAAACGTGGCTGTGTGGCGTGAGAGAGCTATTGGGCTCCACTTGAGCAAAGGATGCTTGTTCAGCAGAAAGCTTTCATTTAGTTTTCTCTACTAATGAAGCATACTGAGACCTCACTCATGATATACACGTGTCTGTTCAAAGTTATTTAACTTTTCTATTGCCATGTACAGTTAAACACCTCAGTGCTTACTTATTATAATGACTTACAATGTCTCAAATTGATAATATACTACCATTTCTGTTCTATCATTAGCAGACTAGAACCCTCGGTGCTCAATTGTTTTTTTATTCTGACAGAATGCTTTCTTAAACAAAAATCCACCAATATCAATTTTTGTTTTGAAGTGTTCAGTTGAAAGAATTAGAGCATATTAATTGACTATTTCCACTGTCAAGCTAAAAACAATGCTCAGCACTAAGTGAAAAATTTGCAAAGTACCAATGCACAAATATTACACTTGAATTCCTGTGAGACTGTAAAAGTCAAACGAACAAACAAAAAAATGCTATTGAATTTTGCAAGCAGCTGTTCTCTTTCTAATAATTAATAATATGGTTGTTTTGGGTTCTTCTTAGACATCTCTCCTAGGCCAATTGAGGAAAAATGCCAGTAGCCTACAAGATTCAATCCTCTTTAGGCTGTGACAGATGTCTTCTCATGTAAAGCTCTTTTTAAATGGGGTTTTGTCAGCAATGATTTTTATTTTTTGATATTGTAATGTTCAAGTGTGATGCCAACCAGAGAGCCAGACTTTGAAAAGAAACGTGTTGCATAGAGGCAATCACAG